AAAGACATACGCTCCAGACCACCTCTAAGATGGGGGTTGAGCATCTTCGCAACGTATGTGGTCAAGTCGCTACCACCAAGTACGATAGAGTGGATACGTCTGTAAGCGGACTTGACGGCATCGCGATGTGCTGCGTCAAACACATTGGCAAGAGGCCCGAAGAGCGGTGCTGCGTAGGTACCGACAGTGTCATTCCATTCGCGAATCCACTCCAGTACGGTCGAGCATGCCTTGAGCCTAGCTTTTACGTGGGTGGCGTATAGGGCGACTTTGATCTCATCTACGTTTAGTTCCTCGCTCTTATCGAAAGACGAGGATTCCTGCGAGCCCATGGTCAAAAGTCCGATGGAGAGCCCGCCAATGGATGAGGTATTGCGCAGCTTCAGCCCCATGATATCAGAGAAACGAGCAGCTTCTTGCTTGGCACTCGTGACCTGGACCGCAGTACCAACAAAGTAGCAGCGGTCATACAGACGGTACATGTACGACTTCGTCGCTTTGTGCGTGGCAAGGTCGAGGAACAACAGCACAGCTTCGCTGAACAACATCTCCAGGCCATGAGCGACCGCTACTCCACTAGCAGGCGTTAGGGGTTTATCCACCTCACTGGCTGAACCTCGGATGCCCAGCTTGGGCTCCAGAGCACGAGTAAAGAATTCGAGGAAGACTTCCGGGACACCAAGAAACCTCAATGTGGTGATGATGGTTTGATTGGGAATTGTGGAGGCAATTGAGTCGAACTCCAAAGTTGTAGCGCACACCTTGCCATCAAACGCCTTTCGAAGTTTACATTCCACAGCGAGGGTCTTGATCAATCTTGCTTGGACGTCTTCGGACGAAACAATCTTGGGTACTTCGCCGTCTTTCTGAGGGAGACGCGACATGAAGAAATGCTGTTTGTAGTTGTCCCTTCGAAGACTTTCTACATCCATAGGCGCAGCTGGCGGTGGCTGTGGAGGTGCCGGGTGCATTATGGGATACATCTTCTCATCACTCTTCTTCTTCTTTCGACTACCCTTTCTGCTGTTGTACAGAGGTAGACCAGGGGGAGGAGGAGGTATTGATTGGAACACGTAAGGTAAGGGTGGCGGTGGTGGCGACAGATAACCCTCACATGCAAGACGAGGTGTGTCGAAGAAGAAAGCACGTTTGTCGAGCTCCGCTTCTGCCAACGGAGCACAGCGAAACAGACCCGACCCGGAAACGAAGTCCTTCAGACACTCGTTCAACTTCACGGCCCACCCAATCGCACAGCAATGCAGGAACAACATGTCGATGATGTCTACCTCGACGTGAACGTAATGCTTGCCGCTCTTGGTTTTGCGCACTTCGACTGGCAAGCCCGCCTCCGCGTTTCTATAGTCCCAGTCGCGATAGCTTATCATGTTCAAGGTTGCGACAAGCTCCCGTAACGCGTCGGGCGACTGCAGGTAGTTTGCGAGGGTAGCCTTCCGTTCTGAGCTGATCCGTTCCGACTTCATCAAGTCCGACATTATCCACGTCAAGCACTCCTCATCTACCTCGATTTCTCCGCTGCTCAAATCATCTCCGTATGCTTGCATTGCGTCTCGGATCGATTGTAGGTGTTCGTCTTCGGCTGCGAACAAGCTCGAGAGATAGGTCTCGATCGACTGGCTGTTCACGTTGGTAGGCTGGGAACAGGCTTTCTCAAACTTCTCGAGAACTTCTTCGCTTTCGTTATCGACTACTTCGAAGTCGTCGTCCTGATCCAGTGCTACAGCCTTGAGCTTAGAAGTTGCCGTTTCGATCTTAGCCGCGTTTGTAGCCTCCTTGATGAGCTGCGCGTGTAGACATGACACCTCCATGCGGTTGCGAAACCTGCTCAGTCTATCGCGGAGGCTCTTCTCTAGCCTCAACAACTTCTTCTCGGAGATCGCATCGTCATCCTTGGCTTGTTCGATGCATCGCTGTATGGTCTCCGTCAAGCATTCGTCGTCCTCTTCGTCAAGCTTTGGCTCTATATTCTTCACTTCGTCCAGCAGCCTTTCGAGACGTACGATGACACTTGGCTGATCAGACTCCGCCGCTTCAGAGAAATATCGTCGCTCGAAAGACTTCTTGGTGCGTTCGAGCGCCTCAAGACGATGCTCGACCGCCTGTCGAACGATCGGCGTCAGGGTGAAGGATGACATTGTGTGATCTTGAGATGCCAAGCTCAAGCGGATTACTGAGGACAACAGCTAGATATGGAGGCCAGGCTCTGCCATCAGCCTCCCCATTCCGCGCAACCGAATCCTGCGCAACCACGTAGGCAACTGCATGTTGAGAGAGCCACCAGGCAGCATATGTTTCACGAGCGAATACGATGGATGTTTTTGGTCACACAAGATTACTGTGCATGGTATGGTCGGTGAATGCTGATGTGCATCCAGTCGTGAGTGCCGTCGCGTCTGCAATCGGGTTAGCCTCACTTCTTTCCCCGCACTGTTCACCGGTCAGGCGTATTGCGCAATGTTCTGTCCGCTTGTTATCTCTGATTCAAAAAATCAAAAGAATGAGTATGGGATGTACTACATCACTCCAATCTCACAATGACCTAAAGACTGCGCCACTTCCCTCGCAAGATCATCGGCCTTTCATGCAGCAAAGCCCAGTGAATCTGCCACGAAAGATTCTATCACGGTCATTTCAATCATGCTCTGCAACGTTTGCAAGGATACTTTCGCTACAACGCGCGACTTATCCGGGGAAGCTTTTGCTCATCACCCTTCGCACACAAGTCTTGTTCGTTCCGCAGCCGATGGCTGCCTGATCTGCTCTGAGACTATGGAGTTCATCACTCGAGGGAACAAAGCTACTGCTCCGCATGGTTCCCGTTCACTCACCACCTGGACATGGTCTCAGTGGAGTGGTAGAAGGACTTCCTTGGAATTCTGGGTCAAGCTTGACCGCTGTGATGCCTCCGATAGCTCGCAGTATAACTCAGACGGTAGTTCAGATCATGTCAACAGCTATGTTGCCACACCTGTTATCAACCCAACCACTTCATGCAGCGAGGGGCCGACGCCATTCTCAACAACCTTTTCGAATACCACAGGTTCAGCAGAGACGATATCGCAGATCATCAACTGGCTGGAACAGTGCACAATGGGCCACGATCTCTGCAACCAGGGGCGAGAGGAAACTTGGATCCCTTCGCGCTTACTGGAGATCAGCGAGGGATACGGGGATCTCCGACTTCATCTGCGAGACCGTTCGGAACTGCAATTGGGTCGATATTTTACTCTCAGCCATTGCTGGGGCCCTAGCGGCTCCCAAAAGCTCAAATTAACCGCCGATTCTCTCACCTCCCTTCGCGACGGCATTGCTGTTTCTAGTCTGAAACCGACCTTTCGCGACATGGCCAATTTGACCTGGAAGTTGGGTTTTAGTCTGATGTGGATCGACTGTCTGTGCATCATTCAAGACGATATTGGAGATTGGAAGCGAGAATCAGCATCGATGGGGAAGATCTACGCAAACAGCTGGCTAAATGTTTCTGCCAACGTGGGAGGGGACGGCAATGCAAGCTTTTTCGTCAAGCGGGACGGCGAGAACCTTGTAGACTACTTCAGCATTCGGTCTGACGAAAATGGAGAGGAAACTTTATTCTTAATAACCCAATCAGAAAGATGGTGGACTGAAGTGGAGTCCGCACCCGTGAATCGAAGAGCTTGGGTATTACAAGAACGAATACTATCGCCTCGTATCGTCCACATGTCCACCGAATTGGCGCTGTGGGAGTGCCGACAACTCCAGGCTTCTGAAGTCTTCCCCAATGATGGATTGCCAGATCAAGAGTCTCCCAATAACTATGGTCACATAAAACGGCTGTGTCATGGGAGCCAGTCTCAAGACCAAGCTCTTCTTAGCGCCGATTGGTGGCTGCTCGTGCACAGATATACCATGTGCGCTCTTACATTCGAAACAGATAAGCTCATTGCGCTATCGGGAATTGCATCTGAGGTCCACAAGAGGGCAAAGTGCCAGTATCTGGCGGGATTATGGAGCAGTACACTACCATCGAGTCTCTTGTGGGTAGTTATATCGCCACCGGAGCTTCGCTCTCCAACATATATCGCACCATCTTGGAGCTGGGCATCGGCAACATGCTCGGTTCTATCCCCGCGAGATATCCCTGAGAATCCGACTCATGTAGAGGCCACTATAATCAATCATGAAATATCTCTAGCCAACCCGCGAGACATGTTTGGCCAAGTGATAGACGGATCGATTGGAGTACGATCACACTTGGGGACCTTGGACTGGATCATCGAGATTGGCAGACAAGAACTCACCGGATGGGAGTACCACATTACAGAAGTGACACTATCCCTGCCTGGGCTCTTGGATACTGCTAAGACGATTGCAAAATGGTCATCGATAGATCCGCAAACTCTGGTCATTTTCTTCGATTATCGTGAATATGAAGATACTCAGAGAGCGTCCTTCGCAGTTATACATAGTCAGCTGGTACTTTCAGAAGATAAAACCACTATCACTGGCTACCATCTACAAGGTCTTCTACTCAATCACCTCCCATGCGGACGATATATTCGAATAGGTGTCGCGAAATTAGAGTTCGAAACAGAGGAAGACATTGTCCGCCAAATGCCAGAAGAAGACATTACGATCATCTAGAAGGAAGGGATTGATATCCTCATGTACTCATCATTGCTATCAAGTTATCGTACCATGGCACTGCGATCACAGAACGCAGACGAGCGACTCATACCTTTCGAAATCCGTATGTACCCATCCAATCAGGTCCTTTCGAATGGGCAGTGTATCGTAAACACAAGAGCAGATGTTACAGATAGCACATCACAAACATTTAGACCATCTTGCACCAATCAGAATCTCATGTCTAAGACACGATGAGAAGAGCTGGAGAACAACTCTTGTGTCATGCCATGCCATACCGTAAACACCATATCATGACCCCATCTTCATAATCATCACCATCCAAGGACGCCAATGACCCTACTTGTCAATCTCCCTCAACGCCGTCCATAAGCACCCCCCTCATCCCTCCTCTCCGTCCTCTTAACCGCCTTAAACCCCAAACTCCCCGCCTTCCTCCTCCTCCCCCCAGCCTCCCCAATATCCTCTCCCCTATCCGCCTCCCCCTCCCCATCCAAAACCTTCCTCCTCCCATACAACTCCATATCCTTAGCATCATCATCATGCCTGCGATCATACTCACTCTCTCGACTAAATAACGCCATCATGTCCTTCATCGTAAGGTTTTTGATGGCTTTACCGCCTTCGATGGCGGCGTTAGCGAGTTTACGCTTGGCTTCCTGCAGCTCGAGGATGCGTTCTTCGACGGAGTTGTGGATGGAGAGGCGGTAGACGGTCACGTCGACGGTTTGGTTGAGGCGGTGGACGCGGTCTATTGCTTGTTCCTCTACGAACTGTTGGGGAAACGTATGTTAGCAGGTGGTTCTTGTGGTGTGGGGAGGTATGGTATGAGGAGGTACAGAAAGGACATATACATACCGGATTCCAAAACGGCTCCATAATAACCACCCGACTCGCAGCCGTGAGATTAAGCCCCAGACTCCCGCACTTCAAACTACACAGCAAAACACGCGTGCGCTTATCTTCACGCAGCTTCTGCAGACTGGCTTCGCGGAGGTCGTTGCGCATGCTGCCATCGTAGCGGGTGAAGTTGTAGCCTGCGCGCTTGAGGAAGGGCTCGATGAGGTCGAGCATGGATGTGAACTGGGAGAAGACAATGACTTTGTGTTCGCCGGTTTCTTTTTCGAGGATGGCGAGGAGTTGGCGGATTTTGGTGGAGGGGACTAGGTCGGAGGCGTTGTAGGAAGACTCTGAGGCTTCGGAGTCTGAGTCTGAGTCGCCTTCTTCTGAATCGGTTGCAGAGTCGTCTGAGCCACTATCACTGTCACTGCCGCTGCCATTCTCGCTCTCGCTATCAGCCTCGTCGTCATCAGAGTCGAGACTAATGACTTTTTGTGGCTTCTTCGCTAGCTTCTTACGAGAAACAGGCGCGCCGTCCTCGCTGTCGGTATCGTGAACGACAAACGAGTCAAGGTTGCTCTTGCTCTCATCCTCAGTCTCGGATGCGTCAGAGTCCACAGTAGCAAGAGTATCGCCACCGCCTTCTGCGTTCTCATCGTCGGTACCGCCAGCCTTGCCCAGGTCTTCAGCCTGCTGTTGATCTTCAGGGACGAGCCACTCGCCTTCCTCTTCTTCGTCGTCACTGTCGACAACGACGCGACGGTTGCGAGAGTGCTTTGCTGCGGTTGATTGCGGCGCGTCTTCTTCGTCATCGGAGTCCACGACTGGCTTCGGTTGCCGGTGCTTCTTGCTCTTGCCGTCCTTGTGCTTGTGTTTGCGGTGTTTCTTCGACTTGTGCCTATAGATAGTTAGTATGTGGCATTACTGGGACTTTGCTTGAGATTGGCTTACTTCTTCTTGACAGATCCGTTCAGATCTTCCTCGCACTCTGTACAACGTACTCCGCCAGCAGCTGTGTTGTCACTGTTAAGTGTGTTTTGACAGATATCACAGCGCTTAGTCGCAACGCTGAGGCCGCCCAAGAGATCTGCAAGATCATCGGCGTCATCTTTGGCTGCCTTTCGCGGAGTTTGTAGACCGGCTGCAGCATTTGACTTTGAACCGGTTGTCAAAGCATCCTTGTCATCCTTGACGTTGCTCTTCGTCAGATTAGGATGATTGCAAGCCTGGCGCAGACGAAGCAGCAACACCAACGCCCCAATGTAATCCTGCTTCTCACCGCCCATCATCTCATCAAGCCGGGCTTGTGTGCGGTCTCGTAAGCGGTCGTAGAAAATGCGCTCCTTGTTCGTGAACTCTCCTATGATGGTCTCGACGTTTCGCGCAACGATGTGGAAGGCTGGGCGCTCCTCGCCCTCCTTGGCTTTACCGCCGAAGTTCAAAGCACCCTCCTTCCGTAGCACATCCTTTGTACGACGCTTCATGAAGGCACGCAAGAAGACTTGGAGTCGCTTCATGGCAAGGTTTCCGCGACCGTTTTTCATTGGCTGCGCGATAGACTCCTTCCAGGAAGAGAGCTCACAGTACGGTTGGATACGGAGGAACTTGATCAGACTCTGTAGCTCGTCGATGTTGTTCTGCATCGGTGTACCGGTGAGGCACCATCGGTAATGCGAACGAAGCTCGTAGCAAGCCTTTGCCATCTTCGTTGTGCGGTTCTTGATAGTGTGTGCCTCGTCCAGCATGATGCGATACCACGAGACGGCGAAACAGCCCTTCTTCAAACCGTCAGGGCCATCGCCGCATTTCGCAAAGTCAGTAGCCAAGCTGTTGAAGGTAGTGATGACGACGTCGTACTGCTTCAGCTTCTCAGCGGACTCTGTACGGTTGGGGCCGTGGTGTACGAGGACCTTGAGGGCGTGCGACTTGGCAACCTTGCTCTTGATCTCAGCCTCCCACTGCTTGATCAGAGCCAGAGGAGCGATGACGAGAGTGCCTTTGCCGGTGGAGTCGGAAATCTTGTTCTTCTTATTCTCTGGCTCAACACCCTTCTCCGGTCGTGGGTTGGAAAGAATTAGGGCAAGGGATTGCACGGTCTTTCCCAGACCCATATCATCCGCCAAGATACCGCCCTTGGGTAGCTTGGCCTTCTTGTTGTGGTTTCCGGTCTCCTTCTCGATCATCCACGCGACACCGTCGACTTGGTGAGGCAGAAGCTTCACCTTGAGACCCTCGACCGTTCCATCGTCTTCTTCCTCTTCCTCTTCTGGTTCAGCCTCTGCCTTGGCCTCTTCATCCTTGACGGCGAGCGCTTGTAGTCGGTCCGCCAGGGAATTGCCAGCGTCATCCTCTTGCTGCTTCTTCTTCTTACGAAGTCGCGTCCTGGGGATCTTCTCGTCTTCCTCGAAAGCACCCTCGAGCAGCGCTTTGATGTTCTCGCTTGCCGCACCAGAGTCGACATACGCGTACGGGTCGGGCTCGCCGAACCGTCCACCCTCGGCTCGAATAGCCGCGTCTGGGTCGAAGTTGTCTTCGTCGTCCAATATGATTGTCTGACGCGCCTGTTGTAGCGGGTTGTGCATGCCCTTGTTCAAAGGTTGGAAGCCATCGGCGTGGCCCATGGACGAGTAAATCGGTCGCGGGGGAGGATGGCTGGTCTTTGGTGGTGGGTTGTATGGCCGTGGGATGGGCACTGGGGCACCTTGAGACGGGCGAGGCTGAAACTGCGAGGCATCGATTTCAAAGATGTCGGAACCGGTCGATGAGGTAGACGCTGTGCTATAGCGCGAACCTGACTGTGCGGAAGGGACTTTGAAGGGTCGGTTGAGCGTGTCCCTGCTACCACCCGAGGCTGAGCTCTGTGACGGCCTAGAAGGCGCCGAGTATTGAGACGGCAGCTTAGTCGTCTGGCTGTGTTCTGGCCGCATCTGGCCCGGTTTGGGTTTGTTGAAGAGGTGTGCAAATTGCTCGCTCCGGTCCTTCTTCAGCGGGTTCCTCAACGGGCTTGTCTCGCCAAACTGTGGGGCTGGGTTTCGTAGGTCTTGTAGAGGCTTAGGCGGCGCCGCTGTTCCATCGCGTGGCGGTTGAGCCATGGGAGGCTCTCGCTCGCGCACCATCTTGAGGCGGGACTGAAGGACTTCCTTCTGTGTGGGATGGCTCGCCGGGCGCTCGATTTCGTCAAAGAGATTGCTCGAGTCGCCAAGTAGAGAGGTCGACTGTTCGTGAGGGTAGTCGCTATCGTCTGACGTGTAGGCGTGGGCGGTGGCCGCTGGGGTTTTGAGAGCGGGCTTCTGAGCGGAGGAGAGGGTGTCGATCGGTCGGAACGGCGCACGGTGTCTCCGCTGACTACTATGCATGGACCGGTATCGTCTTGTCACTGCGGCAGTCTTATCGCGAGGTGTCTCACTTGTCGCGATGGAAGTGCCCCTCGTGTTGTTGCCAAATTAGGCGGCCGGCACAGTCGATGTTGCTAGGGCAAAGGGTAAAAGCGGGGCGTCTGACACGTGGGCCACGCGTAAACAACAACGCGCTATCACAGGATCTACCGCACGTGGAACTCAGGGTCTCCATCTATCTTCATCGAACACAGACCGTGCGTCTCGACGGCACGATCTCACGACACTCGCCATTGGCATGGTTCAGTTGCAACAATATATTACTACAAGTAAAACACTCTAGGCCCTAGTCTCAGAGATGCGTCGAAGAATGGCCATAGCAGTGGCACGGTTGGAAGGAATGCATCCATGTAACTGGTAATGCGCATGAAGGCTAAATTACAATAACAAAACACCAAAAGAATAAAGGAACTAACAGAGTTCCGATGTGCGGCCCTCACATCTTCACCCAGACGTCTTCCTGTTTCTGCCGCCTCTTCGCTTCGCGCGCAGCCAGTATGATCAGTCCTCCAGCAACCAACACACTCCCCGAGAAAGCCTGCGCACCAGTATACGAGCCTCCACTCGACGTGATGATAGCACCACAAACCGGCGAGCCTATCAATGCGCCAACTCCAATAGCCGCGAACACAATGCCAAACGAAGCACCCATCTTCGATGTATCCGAGATAATGATAGGAACAATAGCCAGGGAGAGTGACTGAACTCCGCCTACAGACAGGCTGTAAAAGGTTGTCCATACGTAGAGCCCGGGAGTCGAGTGTACCGGGACCCAGGTATACATGCAGAGTGCAGAGCAGAAGATGAATGTGATGTAGACATTCATCGTGCCGCAGTATCGGGCGATCAGACTGGGCAACAGTCGACCTGCGAAGCCGATGCCGTTCAGAACGAGTGTGAGATTGAGAGATTCAGTGTACGACATCCCCCGCTTCTCTCGCGCGTACGAGCTGAGGAAGAAGAACGGGAAGAATACTCCTAGGAAAGCCTGCAAATCCGTCAGTAAACGGGTCCATACCATCTGGAGCTCGCAGATTAAACACAACTTACCAAAAAAGACCCCACAAGCAGCAAATTAAACGCCGTCTCCCTAAACACACTAACATCCAACAGCGGCCCCTTCTTCCTCACCACCTTCCTCGGCCGCCCAACCACCAACGCCACCGCAAACGTCCCCAACTGAATAAACCCAATCGCCCTCAACGTCCACCCAAACCCCACACTGGGCAACAACGTCCTCACCATACTCGGATACACCAACCCGCCCGTCACACTCCCACACGCCGCAATGCCCGTCACCAACGGCAACCTCCTCTTAAAATAACTCGTAACAAGCGTCGACATGGGGGTGAGCAAACACCCGTTTCCCAATCCCGTACACACGCCTTGTGCAAGGAGTACTTGCCAGTACGTCTCGCTGAGGGATGTCATGAATGTGCCTAGCACGACGAGGAAAGCGCCCGTGCAGGTTACGGAGCGGTAAAACCCGGCGTCTGTGAGGCGCCCGCTTATGATGCCGGTGAAGAAGAGGAGGAAGACGGCTAGGGAGCCGATCCAGGCGATTGTGGAGCGGGTTTGGTGCAGCGTGGTTACGTAGTAGGTTTGGAAGACGCCGAAGGAGATTATCATGCCCCTGTGAAGGTGGTGGTTGTTAGCAAGGGTTTGGGGGGTTGGTGGAGGGGAGGGGAGAGGGGGACGTACCATGTGTTCATGATTGCGAGGAAGAATGCGAGGACTGCTAGCCACGCGACTAAGCCTCCTTCTGGTGGTTCTTGAGCGGTGATTCCGTCTTGGGGTTGTTCCTCGAGGCTCGTGCTTGTGGATGGTAGTGTGGCTGATTCGGTATCTTCGTGTTTTGGTTCGCCATGATCTGCTGGTGTCGAAGAGAGTTTACTCTCATGGTCGTCCGTGGTCTTTCTTCCAAACATCATGTTGTTACTTTGGTCAAGATTGCCAAGTAGAAAGTGTCGATCTTGGGCTGTTCTAGCGGATGCCTGATGCCAGTGGTCGGGATACTTAGAACTATATATACTGTCCCATTACAGACACGCACGTACGAGACGAGAGATTTGTTCACTCATCGGCGAACTGGTACGGATTGATAATCAGCATTAAAGGATGTTTCTGCCCGAAGATGAGCCAACTCCTGGTCTAGATGATCGTGGCGCTAGGCCGGATGTGGTATCAAATGCCGACCCACTGCGTTGTTCATATACACAGAAGACGGTGTTTTGGTCGCTGGAAGAAGTTGTGAGAGAGTGCAGAGTTTTCTCGTTGGGTTGCGTTGATGCTGCCGAGTTATCTCGGGATTTGGGCGAAAGAATTGTGATTTTTGTTGTGATGCGCTGAAACGGATACATGCGCTTGTTGTTTTGATCATTCATCATTCGGCTTTCGATTTGGAAAGCAAGCACGATGTTGAAGTCACAAGACATTTTGAACACCTCAAATTATAGACAGACTTATTTATTATCACTACAACATTCTACAACTCTCAAAACATGTAAGGCTCAACTACTACCAATACATCACTGAACACACTATCATAGCCTTCTCACTCCGTCCACAGCTCAATTAATCTCAACAGCCTCCCCAGGCTTCAACCACCTCACCCTCTCCAAAACACCCTCCTCCTCAAACTCCCTCGCAAGCCCATCACCACCCTGCTTGAAATGATCCCACGACTCATAATGCATAGGCACCAATACATCACCCTTCAGATCCTTAAGCAGATGAGCCGCCTGCCGACCATCCATAGTAATCTGTAAAGCATCGCCTGGCTGGCCCGGTTTACCCTCATCAGTGAACTCGTAAAACGTCGCTTTACCACAGTTCATGATAGCGACAGTGATGTGGTACTTGTCCGCGATCTTTGCAAGCTCTTCGATGTAGACTGTGTCGCCGGAGAAGTAGATTGCGTTCGGACGGCCGTCTGCTGCGACTCCGAAACTTTCGGTGTGCAGGACGAAGCCGACGCATTCGTGGCCGGGCCAGTGCTTGCAGGGTGTAGCGGTGATGTGGAATGTCGTTCCTGCGATCCGCACGTCTCTTTCTTGCCAGTCACTGAAGCCAAGGACGCTCGGCCGGGGCGCAAGATTCTTCGCGCCATCGTTGGTGGTTACGACGTGCCGGCCGTCGACGAGTCGGCGTCCTAAGTCATCAAGGTTATCGGGGTGGTTCTCATGGCTTAGGAGGATGGCGTCGATGTGGGGTAGTTGGTCCAGCTTCAGAGCTGGGTCCTCGTGGACTTTGAGAATCGCTGCCGATCCGTTGAACTCGGTGCCAGCGGGGGAGAAGAAGGGGTCGGTGAGGAAGGTGATGCCGTCGATGTCGAGGATGGCGGTGGCGGTGCCGATGTGGGTGATGGTTACTTTGTTTTTGAAGGTAGAGGCCGGCATGATTGTGGTAGATATACGTTACGTTTGTCGAATAGTCGAGTGATGATATATTAGTACCTGGGTATCAATCTTCCATGCAATGGAACGCAGTGGTGGGCTTTATACCAAGCCGCCCCATCAATGAGAGCCATCGTGACATACGGCCTAGGGCAATTCGCACATCGGCGAACGGTGCGATGATTACTTGATCAGCAACGTTAATCAGCATCAGAGAATTTTCGCATGATTTGATGAGTTCTGGTAGAGTATAGAAACATGACGGACGATACCCGGGGTAGTAGCGTTGTCACCTCAAGCGCTAAGCCCAACGAAGGAGCGAACCCCGACCCACATGTCCTCCTCTAATTGGATGAACACAGCACCTACATCATGGCTGGGCGCTGTCTCAGCTGCCACCCTCCGCGTTGCGTCAACGCATCCCTAGCTATTTCCATCCTATACCAGATTTCATGGTAGTGCCCCACCCCAGGCTATTCAATTCGGGAGTAAAACCCCGAAGCCAATCGATACCTTCCGGTTGCGGTAACATATCGCGTTCCCTCACGGACGCGTACCTCTGCTATGAAGGTCAGGAAAAAGAACCTCTGTGATACTTGCCGCAAACGAAAACTTCAGGTATGTATGCATGTTTCCTTGATTTCGGGATGTATGTGCTGATCTTATCTGCTATTAAACAGTGCGATGGCAAGCGTCCAGCATGCACTCAATGTGTTTTCAGTAAGCGAACATGCGAAGGGTACCCGGACGCCTTATTTGTACCCTTCGATGCGACCAAAACGGCAGTAAAGCCAAGGGCGCGTCCGAAATCGGCTCCGCGGACAAAGCTTCCTCTCCCAGTGGATGCGCAACGTCCTTCCGATGCCGAATCGGGTTGTACTCAGGCTAAAGACGAGTCGACTAGACTTCCCCAGCAGGCCACCTTCACGTCCAGCGACTTACCACCTTCGCATGGTTCATATCCTCCGGATCCTTCCATCGTCCGAGAGAAAGTATCGTTGATCTTGCGCAATTTCATCCCCGTCCAAGAGCTACCATGTAATGCGACACATGCATCTGAACAATGCTCATGGTTTTGTGGCTCATGGGCCAAGGCCCTGCCAGAACTGACTGCCGATATGACTGGACCGTATTCTCAGTGTTTATACTCGGCCGTGAGCGCTTTGGCACTTGCTATCACCGCATATCGAGAGCGTAAAGACTGTCTCAATGCAGTAGTCGCACAATACGAGGATAGTCTCCGTCTTTTGGGAGAAAGTCTTGCAGCTGTGGGAGACGCTTACAGGAGCGAACTTGTTGCCGCAGTTATGTGTTTGGCACTGACGGAGGTAACCTCGCCCATATCTCAAATGATTGTCTACTGGTCTTTCTGGCTGTCTTTTGAGTCATTTAGTTCAAGCAAAGGCTAACGACATATGGCAGGTGCTGTCGCCAACCCAAGAGTCAAGTTGGCTGATACATGTGGAAGGCGTCAGCAAGATGTTTCAACTCATGCCATCTGGGCTCTTCGCATCAGGCATTGAGCATACTATGCTCATGGGCTTCAGACCGCTTTTAGTGAGTACAACGCCATACCAGAAAACTCTTCATGATCTAACATGTCTACGTCCTAGGTACTCAAAGCCTTCATACTTCGGAAATCGACATTCTTCGCAGATGGATCCTGGCTTACACTCCCCTTCCAGCATCACAAAGGTGCCCCACTACAGAGTCTCTTAGGTGTCGCGGCACACATCCCTGGTCTCCTAGAGAAGATTGACGTCGTACTACCTACTTCTCCCAACGCCGCTGCCGTTGGCACGGCTGGATCAGCCTCCCAACTCATCACAGAGCTCATGGGAAGCATATCCCAACTCAAAAACTGGCACAGCGGCTTTCTAGCAAACACCCTAGAACCAATCTCCTGTCGACAGAGCGTAGAGCGCGATCTCGGCGGCACCTACGAGTCACTCTGGTACCCAAGCCTCGGTATCGCCAACGTATTCGTCTATTTCTGGGCTTTCCAGCTCCTCTGCCTCAAGGAGATCCAGGGCCTGTTGAACCGGTTTCCGGGACTAAAGCATGTAGTGCATGATGATGCGGCATACAGCCCCGAAGCGTTGCGGGAGGAGTGCCTGGAGCTCAGCACTTGCATATACAAGAGCATGGAGTATCTGCTGCAGGAAGACTTTATGCTGTATGGTATTTCATCGGCTGGTTTTCCGTTGAGCATGGCTTGTGAGGCGCTTCAGGCGGATGCTGATGGTCAAGCAATCATGGCGACGCTAGATCAGTCGATTATTACTCGGGCGAGGCTGAGAAACCTATGATTCTGGACACCGGCGCTTACTTATAAGGGAGTCAGAACAACCAAAATGAATGAGAACTCTCGGTCCTAGTACAATAGTGTATTGTATTGGTAGAAACAAAACTAAACGTACATTACAAGCATGCATCATCATGAATATCGTCATCCCTCTCCTTCCGACCATCAAACTATCAGTTGTTACATTGCGCCCCATCCGTCATATTGATCTCAGTATACACCAAATGATCCTGGTTGATAAAGCCCGTAGCAGTCCCCTTGTTGCAATCCGGGGCTTCCTGACCAAAGCAGCGGTACGTTGTCCCAGCACTCTGAGTACCTAGAATGGGTAAAGTGTCTTGCTCGTAGATCTCTGTGCGCGTGTGCACGAAACCCATGGGGGTGAGCGGTAAACCAGGTACACCGTCGATGCGATGCGTGATACGGATGAGAGTGCCGAGCTGGGTGTCGCTTGCACCAGACAACTTGTCGGTGTAGTCGGCGTACTGTTGGTTTCCGACGCGCAGCGAGCCCATGGTGTATGCGATCTTGATTGGTACGCCGTTGGCTTTGAGGTCGGTGTAGGCAATACTTGCCAGACCACCTCCTAGACTATGACCAGTGATGATGGTGGAGTAGGACGGCTGCTCAGCACGTAGTTCCGCAAGAGCCTGGATAACACCAGCCTGAACAGATCGCCATCCTTTCAGAACACCGCCGTGGACTTGGCAACCGGTACAGCCTGGTGCTGAATCAAAGGGCATGAAGAAGAAATTGAAGTCTGTTCCGAAATCCTGTAGTGAAGATGAGCCGGCGAAGGACACGATGAATTCCTTGGCGGCGTCGTCTTGGAAGACGGCGACTTGGGTGTCGTTTACAATGTCGGAGACGACTTTTCGGACGAGTTTTGATCCAAAGGGAGGGCTTTTGCATGTTCCGAAGCCGTAGACGAAGGTGGCGAGGGAGGCTACGGCGTATCTGGTGTATCGTTGTAGGACTGGGTAGAACTCGGGTTGGACTATTGGTGGTGAGCAAGCGATCATGTCGCATACGGTTGGTATATCATACTGAGTTCTTTGGGTTTTGTCTGCCTGTTGGCGAGTTCCCGAATGTCAGTTGGGGCAGCCTGGACGAAAGGTGCGGCGAGAGCGGCAACGGCAAAGGTGGAGAGCTTCATGGTGACAGAATGGTACAATACTCAACAACAAGTCTTTCATCAAAGCGACGACGCGTTATATACATACACGACCCT